AAGATGGCTGCCTGTCGGCCATGTTGTTTATCCGATCAGTCTCAAAAGTTGCCCTGCACAGCTAAGGACCAAGGGGAACCTACATATAAAATTTGAGAAAGATCCCTCTTGTATACTTCTTGAGAAATAGCGATAAAAAGAATTGTTTACGGACGGACGATGGACGGAGGACGACAGACGACGGACGGACCACGAACCACGGACCACGGACGCAGGGTGATTTGAATAGCCCACCATCAGATGATGGGGGGCTAAAAATGTGGTTACATATTGTCAGCTAAGTGTTATTCTTATAAATAATGAGAGCTGAAAGTGAAAACAAAAACTGACATGCACAATGACGTTGTTGTCTACTTTAAACGATAATTCATTTTCATTAAGTTTGAGCTCTATTTTCGAAAATATACAAACCACTACCATTTTTGTACGGCTGCTATCATATTCATGGTGAATGGATATGTTTTCAAACTCGGAGGAAGTGCTGTCTCCAAACGCATTCTGACTAAAGTCTGAAGTACCAACCTCTAACAGTGGCAGACTCTTGACTTTTTTAAATACACTACTAGGCATTGTAGCGTGTCTTAAAATTCAAACAGCTTGTAAAAGAGTCCAGTTATTTGACAACAAATCTCCCTTTTCGATCACTCAGTAACAGCAACACATGGTGAATTTGGCGGTGTATCCATTTTCCAAGACATTTTTTAAATAGAAAGCAGTCACCAATTATCACAAAGATGTACTGTACGATGGAAAAATACATATATCCTTTTGTCTTTAAAAGACGGACAATCTGCCCAGAGTTACTACTTACACAACAGATGTATCACATAAATGCTTTTTAAGACTTAGTGTAAAAAGTAAAAATTTTACAACAGGATATATACTTATTTTAGTAAAGAGAATTGAGGGTCTACTTAATCCATGACTTAACCTATTTACCTTAGAGTTGGGATTGAACTCTTCCTTTCCTTCATTTTGACCCGTCCACTTTGATTCGTAGGGTTTACAGGACTTGATCAAGTGACCAGATGACAAATGATCACAGGTCTAACACGCTGAAGGTGACTGTCCAGGTCTGTGGACACTATTCGCAGTCCTCAGTTTCCTGTCAGTCAAGAATGTATGACCACAGCCAAAACCTTCCTCCCCTTAAAATCATTATACAGACAATTACATCAGCTTGGATAAGTAACTGAGAATGCATGGCCGTTCTTTGTTTTTCTTACATCATTTAATATACAATTAAGGATACTGATCATCACAACATGGTTTTTCTTTCTCCAGGGAGGAGAAACAACTAAATAGCATTATTATACCTCATCTGTATAACAGCATGTCTGATTGGAGTATATTGATCACATGAGAGGGAAATAAAATATCATGTTTCCCTCACACACTGCAGTTTCCCTGGACATATTTTTCTTATTCGGAGCCTCTCTAGAAATATTATAGAGACAATATCCTTTGTTTTGAGTGACTGAAGCAGACAACAGCAATGACACCTAATTAAGCCTGATGACTTTTATTATTATTGTTATTGTTCTATTTTGGTATAATAACATATCACATTATATCAATTTCCCTTTCATTTCCATTTTAAGAGATTCACATAAAGGGGATCTAACCCTGCCAAAAAGTGCCAAAAAAAATAATCCACAGTTCATAACAAACTTGCAGACTGCTACAGTGAACAGAGTTTCTTGACAAAATCTATGCAGTATTTAATGTCAGAAGCATTCGGAACATGATTTTTCCACAAAAGGGATATTTATAACTCTGCAAAAAAAACCAACAACTTTAAAATGAAAAATAAATTACATTATATATAGTGTAAACTACTGACTTGCAAACTGATAAAATGTACAAAGTACGTTTCAGTGAAATCTATCTTAATGCAGTATACACTTAAGTCTTAACAACTGGGTGATGATACCCTGAATTCCAGTGCCCCCATCGTCGACCCGATAACATGAAGTTCCATATTAAAGGAATTTATTATGTCCAGTAAGTGTGCCGAGGACATTTTTCATCACTGGAAATTCATAACAGAGGTATTTTGTGTTAATAAAAAATTTATAATGTATGTCACTGGGAATACTGTGAAGCACAACAGATTGAATTGCATCAGAATCTAAAGGATTTATGAAATCTTAGATTCGGCATGGTCATATTAATAGCAGAATTAGTCATCAACTAGTCACTCAGCTCATAACTTTGTTTACAAAAACAACTTGTATTAATCCTGTTTTACACATAAATATTCTGTATATATGGATGCATATATAGAATATGACATTTTATGAATGAACATATGACCCTCAAGTATCGTACCAATAAGCATGCAGAGCTCGTGTGACTGTTATTATTTATATTTACTTATACATTCTCTTGAATGTGAAGTATTCCATTGCGATATATACACAGTTGTATGGCTTGCTTCAAGTAGTGGTGATTTTCTAATAATGATTTAAGCATATATTTCCTGGTAAAACGAGCACAAAATTACTTTCCATCCATCCTCGAAATATAAGAGTTCAGCTCTCAATACACAGAATATCTTCTCTGTACATCTCAAATACCCCACAGGTCTTTAAATATTTACAGGGCATACAGACAGTAATTAAGCCACTGATGCCTTATGTTCAACTCCTTTTTTTACACAGGGAGAAACACCATGTTATTTAATTTCTTTTAACAAAATTAAAATGGTTTCTTTTCTTCTTTTTTCAAATTGCTGCAATAATAAATCATGTAAAATGATGGTTATACCTGTACAAACTGTTAAATCCTACAAAAAAAACCTGTTTTCACTTAGAGTATAATTTCTTTGTTGTACCAACTGATCATGATTAAAGTTACCTCCCTTTGGCAAAATATCAATCTTTCATTTTGATACTTTGCATTTACAATTTCTGGATTATAGCATAAATAGTAAATTTAGGATTGGCCGCAGATAAAGGCTCAAAGTTAATCCCTCCTTACTTTTATTTGTTTCCATTTTTACTTGTAATCAAAAAAGTAAAAAAAAAAATCATTATTGCAATTAAAAAATGCACTGAGTATTGAAAACATTTGTTCAAAATGACTTAGAAATATTTCGCTGTATTGCTAATGGTAATAACATACTTTAACTTGATGATTATCTTGATGTAATCCATTGAAATGGTTCTACTTACTATAGCAGTGTTACGCACATCCCTGACCCCTTGGTCAGTGACATTAGCTGGATCTAGTAATGCCATGTCTCCAAAATTTCCACTTGATCAATTGTAAGGTAATTTTAAAAGAAATTGCAATCTTGTTGAATGGTCAGTTTGAATCTCTAATAACCTGTATGGTTCTCCAGCAACTTTGCAGCATTGATCCCAAATTGCACTTTTAATATCCCTCAGTGTGAATTTCTACCAATGTACAGTTCATCAAACACTGAACATTCACGTGGCTTGTAATTATGTAAGTATATACTTTCTTAAAATTCGACAATGTACATCCAATAGGTTTACTTTTCAAATGTGGCTTTCAAATCATTAGTTTGAATTAGAGTTTAAACAACAAAGCACCATCCATCCAATTACGTTAGTACTGTGTCAATTCTCCACAATCTTGTATACTAATAATAAGCTCTGAAATGTTTTGTTTGAATCACTCGAACTTAAAACGCCCTAAAACTCCTTAGCGATTCCATGATGAAAACATGAACTGGTGAGCATGCACATACTTCTGAATTCAGTTCCACAAACACAGGGATTTAATAGAATCCAGATAAAAATGCTCTACATTGACGGGTACTCTCTGTCATGTGACAGTTCTGGCGACATGTGAGGCACCGTATCTTCATTCACAACTCACGTTAAAAGTGTCACAAATATGTCATGTGATTTTCTGCTGTTAAACCACCCGACACATGACCAAATTTAGTATATATATGTACACATCCGCTCATGTGAATAGTTCCACACTTACAAGCCAACTAAAGGCTACCTAACAAAGAACCTGTTTAAAAAACATTCATCCGTCAATGGACCTGAAAAGAAAACTTTCTATGAAACAGCTAGATGTGGGTTTGAACTAGTTACTCTATATAGAGTATAAAGTACATACATATTATATGCAGAGACAGCTTGAATAAGATAAACATAAACATGCATATACAGGGTTCATAAATATGCATAGTCATAACCTGAATATTTCAAACGTATATTTCATACAATCCACTTCAATCAAAGGTCAATCCCATGATGAGGTCACATGCCAACAGGTCAATCATCTGCGTAGGTCATATGTCAACAGGTCAATCATCTGTAAAGGTCACTTATCAAAAGGTCAATCATCTACGAAGGTCAGTTAACAACAGGTCAATCATCTGTGAAGGTCACTTATCAAAAAGTCAATCATCTGTGAAGGTCAGTTAACAACAGGTCAATCATCTGTGAAGGTAACATTTCATCAATGGTCAATTTGTTTGTGGAGGTATCCTACCCTACACAGGCTAATTATGTGTACAGATCACCTGTTGACAAAGGTCACCTGTTGACAAAGGTCAATCATAGGTACAGAACACCTATTGACAAAGGTCAATCAAAGGTACAGAACACCTGTTAACAAAGGTACAGAACACATGTTTACAAAAGTCAATCATAGGTACAGAACACCTGTTAACAAAGGCCATTCATTGGTACAGAACACTTGTTGAAAAAGGTCAATCATAGGTACAGAACACCTGTTGACAAAGGTCAATCAAAGGTAACCTGTTAACAAAGGCCAATCATTGGTACAGAACACCCCCTGTTAAAGGCCAATCATTGGTACAGAACACCTGTTGACAAAGGCCAATCATTGGTACAGAACACTTGTTGACAAAGGTCAATCATAGGTACAGAACACCTGTTAACAAAGGTCAATCATAGGTACAGAACCCCTGTTAACAAAGGTCAATCATAGGTACAGAACACCTGTTAACACAGGTCAATCATAGGTACAGAACACCTGTTAACACAGGTCAATCATAGGTACAGAACACCTGTTAACACAGGTCAATCATAGGTACAGAACACCTGTTAACACAGGTCAATCATAGGTACAGAACACCTGTTAACAAATGCCAATCATTGGAAAAGAACACTTGTTAACAAAGGCCAATCATTGGTACAGAACCCCTGTTAACAAAGGTCAATCATAGGTACAGAACACCTGTTGACAAAGGTCAATCAAAGGTACAGAACACCTGTTGACAAAGGCCAATCATTGGTACAAAACACCTGTTGACAAAGGTCAATCAAAGGTACAGAACACCTGTTGACAAAGGTCAATCAAAGGTACAGATTACCTGTTAACAAATGCCAATCATTGGAAAAGAACACTTGTTAACAAAGGCCAATCATTGGTACAGAACACCTGTTGACAAAGGTCAATCAAAGGTACAGAACACCTGTTGACAAAGGTCAATCAAAGGTACAGAACACCTGTTGACAAAGGTCAATCAAAGGTACAGAACACCTGTTGACAAAGGTCAATCAAAGGTACAGAACACCTGTTGACAAAGGTCAATCAAAGGTACAGAACACCTGTTGACAAAGGTCAATCAAAGGTACAGAACACCTGTTGACAAAGGTCAATCAAAGGTACAGAACACCTGTTGACAAAGGTCAATCAAAGGTACAGAACACCTGTTGACAAAGGTCAATCAAAGGTACAGAACACCTGTTGACAAAGGTCAATCATTGGTACAGAACACCTGTTGACAAAGGTCAATCATAGGTACAGAACACCTGTTGACAAAGGTCAATCATTGGTACAGAACACCTGTTGACAAAGGTCAATCAAAGGTACAGAACACCTGTTGACAAAGGTCAATCAAAGGTACAGAACACCTGTTGACAAAGGTCAATCAAAGGTACAGAACACCTGTTGACAAAGGTCAATCAAAGGTACAGAACACCTGTTGACAAAGGTCAATCAAAGGTACAGAACACCTGTTGACAAAGGTCAATCAAAGGTACAGAACACCTGTTGACAAAGGTCAATCAAAGGTACAGAACACCTGTTGACAAAGGTCAATCAAAGGTACAGAACACCTGTTGACAAAGGTCAATCAAAGGTACAGAACACCTGTTGACAAAGGTCAATCAAAGGTACAGAACACCTGTTGACAAAGGTCAATCAAAGGTACAGAACACCTGTTGACAAAGGTCAATCAAAGGTACAGAACACCTGTTGACAAAGGTCAATCAAAGGTACAGAACACCTGTTGACAAAGGTCAATCAAAGGTACAGAACACCTGTTGACAAAGGTCAATCATAGGTACAGATCACCTGTTGACAAAGGTCAATCAAAGGTACAGAACACCTGTTGACAAAGGTCAATCAAAGGTACAGATCACCTGTTGACAAAGGTCAATCAAAGGTACAGAACACCTGTTGACAAAGGTCAATCAAAGGTACAGATCACCTGTTGACAAAGGTCAATCAAAGGTACAGAACACCTGTTGACAAAGGTCAATCAAAGGTACAGATCACCTGTTGACAAAGGTCAATCAAAGGTACAGAACACCTGTTGACAAAGGTCAATCAAAGGTACAGATCACCTGTTGACAAAGGTCAATCAAAGGTACAGAACACCTGTTGACAAAGGTCAATCAAAGGTACAGATCACCTGTTGACAAAGGTCAATCAAAGGTACAGAACACCTGTTGACAAAGGTCAATCAAAGGTACAGATCACCTGTTGACAAAGGTCAATCAAAGGTACAGAACACCTGTTGACAAAGGGCATCTGTTAACAAAGGTCAATTATAGGTACAGAACACATGTTGACAAAAGTCAATCATATGTACAGAACACCTGTTAACAAAGGTCAATCATTGGTACAAAACACCTGTTGACAAAGGTAAATCAAAGGTACAGAACACCTGTTGACAAAGGTCAATCATTGGTACAAAACACCTGTTGACAAAGGTAAATCAAAGGTACAGAACACCTGTTGACAAAGGTCAATCAAAGGTGCAGAACACCTGTTGACAAAGGTCAATCAAAGGTAAAGATCACCTGTTGACAAAGGTCAATCAAAGGTACAGAACACCTGTTGACAAATTTCAATCATTGGTACAGAACCCCTGTTGACAAAGGACAATCATTGGTACAGAACACCTGTTGACAAAGGCCAATCAAAGGTACAGATCACCTGTTGACAAAGGTCAATCGAAGGTACAGAACACCTGTTGACAAAGGTCATCTGTTTACAAAGGTCAATCATAGGTACAGAACACATGTTGACAAAAGTCAATCATATGTACAGAACACCTGTTATCAAAGGTCAATCATTGGTACAGAACACCTGTTGACAAAGGCCAATCAAAGGTGCAGAACACCTGTTGACAAAGGTCAATCAAAGGTACAGAACACCTGTTGACAGAGGTCAATCATTGGTACAAAACACCTGTTGACAAAGGTAAATCAACAGGAGTTCTGTACCTTTGATTTACCTTTGTCAACAGGTGTTTTGCACCAATGATTGACCTTTGTCAACAGGTGTTCTGTACCTTTCATTTACCTTTGTCAACAGGTGTTTTGTACCAATGATTGACCTTTGTTAACAGGTGTTCTGTACCAATGATTGGCCTTTGTTAACAAGTGTTCTTTTCCAATGATTGACATTTGTTAACAGGTGTTCTGTACCTATGATTGACCTTTGTTAACAGATGACCTTTGTCAACAGGTGTTCTGTGTCAATCAAAGGTACAGAACACCTGTTGACAAAGGCCAATCAAAGGTGCAGAACACCTGTTGACAAAGGTCAATCAAAGGTGCAGAACACCTGTTGACAAAGGTCAATCAAAGGTACAGAACACCTGTTGACAGAGGTCAATCATTGGTACAAAACACCTGTTGACAAAGGTAAATGAAAGGTACAGAACACCTGTTGACAAAGGTCAATTATAGGTACAGATCACCTGTTGACAAAGGTCAATCAAAGGTAAAGAACACCTGTTGACAAAGGTCAATCATTGGTACAGAACACCTGTTGACAAAGGTCAATTAAAGGTACAGATCACCTGTTGACAAAGGCCAATCAAAGGTACAGATCACCTGTTGACAAAGGTCAATGAAAGGTACAGAACACCTGTTGACAAAGGTCATCTGTTTACAAAGGTCAATCATAGGTACAGAACACATGTTGACAAAAGTCAATCATATGTACAGAACACCTGTTATCAAAGGTCAATCATTGGTACAGAACACCTGTTGACAAAGGCCAATCAAAGGTACAGAACACCTGTTGACAAAGGCCAATCAAAGGTACAGAACACCTGTTGACAAAGGTCATCTGTTAACAAAGGTCAATCATAGGTACAGAACACATGTTGACAAAAGTCAATCATATGTACAGAACACCTGTTATCAAAGGTCAATCATTGGTACAGAACACCTGTTGACAAAGGCCAATCAAAGGTACAGAACACCTGTTGACAAAGGTCAATCAAAGGTACAGAACACCTGTTGACAAAGGTCATCTGTTAACAAAGGTCAATCATAGGTACAGAACACATGTTGACAAAAGTCAATCATATGTACAGAACACCTGTTAACAAAGGTCAATCATTGGTACAGAACACCTGTTGACAAAGGTCAATCATTGGTACAGAACACCTGTTGACAAAGGTCAATCATTGGTACAGAACACCTGTTGACAAAGGTCAATCATTGGTACAGAACACCTGTTGACAAAGGTCAATCATTGGTACAGAACACCTGTTGACAAAGGTCAATCATTGGTACAGAACACCTGTTGACAAAGGTCAATCATTGGTACAGAACACCTGTTGACAAAGGTCAATCATTGGTACAGAACACCTGTTGACAAAGGTCAATCATTGGTACAGAACACCTGTTGACAAAGGTCAATCATTGGTACAGAACACCTGTTGACAAAGGTCAATCATTGGTACAGAACACCTGTTGACAAAGGTCAATCATTGGTACAGAACACCTGTTAACACATGTCAATCATTGGTACAGAACACCTGTTAACAAAGGCCAA